TGATCAACAGGCTACAACTCGGATTTGAATCAAGAAGCATGCAGTCAAAGTGTCTCTTCTTCAGGATAACTCTCTTAAAACCTTTCAGCCTTGCAGGCCTCCTCTTGACCCTGACATTTCTGCCCCACGGCCCTCCAGGCCTGTCACCACCAACTCTATCACTGGGCACCTTCTGGGTCTCTCACTGTCTTCAGTGTTGCTGCCCATGTCCTGTGGTACAGCTCTTTTAGGGGCTCCCTTGCCTTCTCTCTGTCTTCTCTCTCTTTGCTTCTTTCTGTCTGAAAATCTCCTGTGGAGTTGGCTGCCTATATAGACAAATTCTTCATCAATATCAAGGTGTGGATTTCCCACCAGGGTCATGAACTGACTAATTCCTATATGCTTAATTTGCATAATGGGCTATAGACATGCATTTGCATAGTCTATTGACCATTCCTTGCAAAGTGTATATTAATCACTAGGACAGCTGGAGCGCAGGACTAGACAAAAAGTATCCAACCAAGTTATCTACAGTTTACCTGGGAAATGTCAATCAATGTAGACAAAAGTACCAAATTCTCTAGAAACAAGAAAACTAGCTAACCTCAAGGTTTAGGGAAGGAAATCTATCTTGCTATTTTTCCAAAGAACCAAGGCAAAAGGTCACATAAAAGAACTCATTTTACCACAATAGCGAAAATTGAATGAATAGCTTTTCTGCCTGTAAGAATAATTTGGCAGTGCAGAATTACATGGGCACCTTTGTTTCATCCTAGCCATACAGGCAACTCATGAGCTGTGAGAGATGAAAACATCCCTAACTGTAGTAGTTATCTAGTGATGCTAAATTTTAGAGACTCCAAAAGACTTTTGCATCTTAGAGTTGCTTGAACAACCTGTAGGCCACCAACCTTCAGATTTCTATAAAGGGATTTACAGCCATCTGTAATATCCCTTGGAAAGGAAAGATTCAAGTTCAATAAAAAAAACTTCAAGGTGCATTTCTAAGGCAGACTTGAGAGCTAAAGTATAGGAGATGTTAAACTGAAGAAGACAGTCTTGGAACAACACTGGCAACGAAAATCACCTAAGTAAGTACCCAAGGACAAAGAAACTCTTATCTCTTCTTCCTCCACCCATAAGCCCATAGTGCTGCTGATGAAAACTGCAAAAATGGGCTCAGTATCAGGTTTCCTACTTTTGCCTTTGGTTAGAGATAGGGAATACACTAACAACTGAAGCCTCACAGATAGCTACTTGTCCACCACTTTACTTTGGATTAGATTTCTTTTCTGAAATCCCTTAACACATTACAATTATCTCACCAAAATGTGGTTCTCCAGAGTCTTTAAATTTTTTTTTTTTTTTTTTTTAATCTTGAGCCATTTCTGACCTTTGCCCACCTACTGTATGTACCAGGCACCCTTTCCTGTTTTCTCTTTGAGTCCTCTGTCTGCTGCTGCCACTCAGGAAGGTTCTGCGGCCACCTGCAGCTACCTCTAGCCATTGCTCTCTGAGGCTTATCTTCAGGAACTGTAATTCCTTCAATGCTGTGGCCCATGGCTGTGCTTCCTCTCTAAATGTGTCTGGACTGTTTACCCACTAGAATCTTGGGTAATTGCCAGATCTAAACTGCAGCTCAGCTGGTCTGAATCATTCAGGGAAGACTCTGGTGCTCGTGGCCCCACAATCACTTCCACAAATGATTCAGGAAGGAGGGGGAGGCTGATTACAGTGAAGAAAGAAACCATTTAAACATACACTCTGTAATGAGTATGTAGAAGAAAGGAAGGAGAAAACTGACAGTGGGATTTTACTGCCCTCTGAGTAGGACAGAACACAGTTTTCTTTGTTGGCAAAGCTAGTAGGAGAGGCTAGTGGTCCATGGTTGGTTTTTGTACAGAAGGGATTATACCAAGTTTAAGGCCAAATGAAGAAAAGCATGTGTGATGGCAGTCCAGGCGTCATCTTCACGGGAAAGCAACATAGTCACACAGGTTTCACATGCGCACCAAAACGGAACTCCAAGTGGCAAAGGGAGAAAGTAGGTACAGTGTTTGTAGGTCAAGGGACACATCTGACTCTTCACACGGCACCCAGAGACTACAGCTGGACTTTTTCTTAACAACAAATGTTGGAGAGTAATTTCCACACTGCATGGTGCTGTGGGTTAATGTACTGAACTGCAAGATCAGCGGTTCAGGCTCACCAGCCGCTCCTTGGAAACTCTATATAGGGTCATTATGAGTTAGAAACCACTCGATGGCACTTAACAACATAACAACAAAATATAAAAACTTCACACTCCCTTTTACGAAAATTTATTTATCACATTTATATAATCACATCCTATATTTTTGGTTTTTTTTCTGTCTCATTCCTCTTACTTGTTATTTAGTGATGTTAAGTTAGTTCTGACTCATATCAACCCTATATAGGGTAAATCTTTGCAGGAGCCGAAAGCCTTATCGTTCTCTCAAGGAATAGGTGAAGGGCTCAAACCGCTAATCTTGTGGTTCACAGTTCAGTGCTTATCTTCCAGAGCCACGGCACTCTTCTTTCACTATTGCTGTTGTTGTTAAGTGCTGTAAAGTGAATTCGACTCATAGCGACCCTGTATAGGGTTGCTGAGGAGCCGCTGGTGGGTTTGAACTGCTGATGTTGTGGTTCACAGTCCAGTGCTGATTCTACAGTGCCACACCAGGAGTTGTCCTTACACTATAGGCCTAAAAAAAAAAAAAATTTGTGAAAATGATTGGTTCCTGATTTATCTGATAAATTATCTCCCTTAGGAAGGGGTAGTGGTGGTGATGGTGGTGTGTGTGTGTGTGTGTGTGTGTGAGGGGCACTAATATGGAAGTGGTGAAATAAAGATAATGGTAGGGAATTGAAAGAAAGGAAAGCTATATTCACTAAGGGAATTTTTCTTTAAATAACAGGTAGATTAATTGAACACTTTGAGTTATTCTCTGCTAAACTTCAACTTTTTTAATTTGTTGTTGTTGTTAAGTGCTGTCGAGTCAATTCCAACACATAGAGACCCTGTATAGGGTTTTCCAAGGAGCAGCTGGTGAGCTTGAACCGCCGACCTTGCAGTTCAAACAGCTTTGCAGTCTGATGCAATAACCCATAGCGCCATGCCAGGACTGTTTTTTTGTTGTTGTTTAGTCTTTATATAAATTCAATAAACTAGGTATTGTTGTTGTGGTGATGATTATGTGCTGTGGAGTTGGTTCCAACTCATAGCAACCTTATACAGGGTTTCCGAGGCTGCAAATCTTTACGGGAGCAGAAAGCCTCATTTTTCTCCCATGGAATAGATGGTAGTTTTGAACTGCTGACCCTGAGATTAACAGCCCGATTTGTAACCACTACACTACCAGAGTTCCTTAAACTACATATTATCCTTATTAAAATGTGGAAACTGAGGCAGCATAACATAGAAGCCTACATTTGGGCTTTAGAACTAACTAGCTTTGCTTTTAAAATTGGGCTTCGCCACTTGTTGAATGTGTAACTCTGCATATATTACCAACTCTCAGCATCAATTATTTTCATGTATTGTCAAGGATGTGATCTGTCTCACAAGCTTGTTTTGAGGCTTAACTGAGATCAATAATAAGTCAGTATTAATATTTTAGGACATTAAGTTTCTTCATTGTTCAGTAAATAAATGTCGCCCCCCTCCCAGCAAATCACTTCAGATCACTTTCCTAACATGGTGATGGTGGTATTAATGCCTTGGAGTCAGTCGTGACTCATAGCGAACCCATATAGTTTCTGAGGCTTTTAAATCTTTGTAGGAGCAGAAAGTCTCATCTTTCTCCCAAGGAGCCGCTGGCAAGCTCAAACCACACACTTTGTGGTTTGCAGTCCAGTGCTTCTGTGGAGCCACCACACTCTCCAAAAATGGTGTAGAAATTAAACACAATAAAAAAACATGACTATACATTTGACTTGAATGAACTAGGAGGTTATAAAACTATGAATATGAACCAGTTTTTGAAAATGGCAAATTCTCTCTTAATTACAGAAATTTTACAATCCTGAAGGGGACAAGCTCCTTCTACCCCTAGGACTTATTGTGTGGGTAGGAGGTAGAAAAGAGGGAACGACTGAACCTGACTCTTGACAGGTGGACAGCTAACCCTCAGCCACAGTGGCTTTGATGTGCATGTCCCAGGAGAATATAAAGTGACTGATCTATTCCCAGTCCTAGTCTGGGGCTTGGAGAAATGAAGGGCAGAGAGTTCAGCTGATTCCTTCACTCCTGCAGCAAACGAAAGCTGCCCAGGGAGAAGATAGGGGAGTCACCAGAACTGTCAGAAACCAATTTGAAAGAGGTAGATACAAACATGCAAGAGAGCCCAGGACAACGCATCACAGAAAGTGTGTGTATGCTTATGTAGGGGTGACATGATGAAAAGGTGCACCCAGAATTTATCCTAAAGCCCCACTGCAGAACAATCATCAAAGGTTAAGTGTAAGTCCACCCTGAGTCTGAACCTAGACTCAAGGAATCTGCAAAAGAATTCCTTCCCCCATCCCCTACTTCCACCAGGTCTACCTCTGAGTATCTGGCCTGGAGGAGACAAGAAGTCAGTCAGACTGAGCTTTAGCACCTGGAGAAATATGACTGGTCACTGTCACTCAGGATGTTTCCAGAGAAACTTACAGATCTTCCATTTTTCACGTAGAATGCTTTCCTTTGTCTTCTCCACCTCCCCCAATTCCAGAACCAATCCTGAAAGGGCCTCTCAGGTTGCTTCGACCCACACACCTCTCTCTAGGGTGCGCAGGTCACACACTGCGCACTTAGCCTCAGCACCTTGGTGGGGGTTGGAGGAGGGTAGGGGGTTGAGGGGCGTAACCAAGTTCTTCGTGGACAGAGATCCGTTTTTTGTTATCAGCCCCAGGCCAGATGTATGGAGACATGCTGATCTTAACAGTGTACCGTCCTGAGAAAGTAGAGTGTGCCTGGGTGGCAGGCGTCCCTAGAACTGAATGTTCCTCACTGGGACATGGCACAGGTGGGAAACCTGGTTTAACAGACAACTTTACTTGAATCTGGGGAGCATTTTTGTTAGGCCAATTCTTGGCAGCCTGCCTAAGAAGCTCGCAGGTCCGGTTCCTAGCTGCACCCCCAGCCTCCTGCCCCAGAAAGCCCCCTAGAGCGGCCCTCCGCGCAGGTGACCGTCGTCAGGGCGGCTCCATTCCGCCGCCTAGAGCTTAGAAGCGGTCACTGCTCCCCAGGATGCCCAGGCTCCACCAAGGGCGCCCACCCAGAGCTCAGGGACCCGCCGGCAGCACGGTACTGGCAGTCTGGGTGTGGCGTCTGAAGTCAGATGCTTCCTGCCTTTTCCTTCGCGGGGTGCTGGTCTCCAGCAGCAAGCTCCGGGAATGCTCAGCCGCCCCGCCCAACCTGCTAGAAGCGCGCAGCGTCCCCGCCCCCAGATCTAAACTCCCACCCCCTGTGCCCTTAGAGGGGCACCCCCACTGGGGCGGGAGGGTGGTCAGCAGAGTCCCGGTTGCCAAGCGGTGGAAAGGTGAAGGTTACCGCCTTCCTATTTCCGCCGGGTCGGCAGCGCAGCGGAGTGAGCGCTGAGGCACTCGGTCCTCCCTCCCCTAGCCAGCCCGCCCGCGCCGGGGGCTGGCCCTGCCTTCCCTGCGCCTTTTTCCCCCGCGCCGCGGCGCCGCTCCCACACTCGGGCACCGCAGGTAGGGCAGGAGGCTGGAGCGCCTGCTGCCTGCCCGCCCGTAAAATGGTCACCTCGGCTGGAGAGCTCGCCCTGTTCGCGCTAGGTACGTACGCAGCCTACTGCGCTCCTTGAGCCCCCTGCCCTCCGCGTCACCCAGCTTTCCCTTCCCTCCTCCATTTCTCTTTCCAGGGGGGGTTTCCATGCCCGGCTAGCAGAGTGGAGGGGGACTAATGCTTTAAGGGCTTTGAAGGCTGGGTGGCAAGAAGAGTCATTAGTATCAAGGGGGTGGGGTTTGGGGGATCATTCCAAAGTGGGAGCCGTTAAGCCCCTAGGCTTCTCTCGGGTAGTGGCCGCCTGGGCTGTGCGTGTGAACACCAGAGAAGGTGAAGCTGTGTGTGAACTGTATTGAACTTTAATCCGCTGTGGCTGCGTGTGTTCGAGCACTTGCCCACACCTACCTGCTTACCTGCTGCCTCCATGTCCGTCCCCACCGACGTCGGGAATGTATACACTGAGTCTCTTCGGAGCGGGTGGCGGACGCCGGACCTTACGACTGACCTTGCCTTTTCCCTTCTCTCCCCTCTGCTTACCCCCCTGCACCAGCGACGGATAGATTTTCACAATCAGTAGAGGCACCCTCAGTCTTCGAACTTTGCGCGCTTTAGAGCTTCGGAGTAGGTTTTGGATTTTGTGTGTGTGTGTTTAATTATTCTTTTAATTAACTTCCCTGGGAGAAGTGGTTTAAGTGTCTGCCGAGGGCTAGCGTAGAAACCTAGACAGAGCCTTGCCAATTTCATTTGCATTTGCTCTTGGAAATGAATCAGGGATGGAGGAGGGGAGGGTAAATTAAACCCCGCAAACTCAGGTCCAGACTGCGGAGACCCAGAGGAGTTCAGGCGGTCTGTTCACCGGTCAGTCTGTAGCGGTGAGGGGCGCTGAGAGGCGCTAGCTCCGTTGCCTCTTTCCCCTCGGGTTGCAAGGTCTTACCCGTTTTGAGACAGATTAACAGACCAGGTGTCCTGGTTACTGCTGCAGCCTTTGGCGAAATGAATTGTTCACTTGGTATCCTCTGAGTTTAGTGAAGCAAGTTGTTCGCTCCAGGGCCATCTACTGTGGAACCCCTCCCCCAAAATGTCCAGAGCCAGAGCCAGCCGCGGCAACCTCACCCAGTTCCATATACAGTTTCAAGGGGTAGGTGGGTGGGTTATGGGCTCCGCTTGCAATCCTGCCCTTGAAACGCCAATTAAGAACACAGCGGAAGGGGAGCATCATGTAAGGGAAATACAGAGCAGTCGTGGAACCGGATGATCCAAGTTGCACCCTCAACTGAAACTCGCTAACAGGTGGCATGATTATGGGCGGTTTTTGTTTATTTTCCCCCAGAATTACCTTCTTTTGTTATGGTATTTGTTTTGACTTCAGATTTGTGTTAAAGCAGTGAAATATTACGGATATAATTGAAACCTCCTGTGTGCTTTTTCCTTTTATAATGCATTTGGAAATAATCATAGCAATAAGTAATGTGATTTGAGCACTTACTCAGGGACAGGCTAATGCCTAATTCTACTTACTTTGTGTATTAGGTAATTTTCACATCATCCTAATGAGGAAGATATTATTACCATTCCCATTTTACAGATGAGCAAAGTGAAACAAACATACAGGGCCCGCAGGTAGTATTTGAAATGGTTTAGTAAAGACTGTTGAAGGAATGAAAAAAAATAAGAAACTTAACTTGCAATCCGTATAGTTCCATCTCCCAGATTGGGGCTTTCTTTACCTTGAGGAGAAAATTTCTATGAAACTCTTGGGATTTCATTATGGTTTTAGGTTTATTCAGTGAAAATTAGGGGCAGGCAATGATGAAGATTAGCAAATTTGAAAATTGCGATCTTTCTCATGTGGCCCCCGCCCCCAGCATGATGTACTCAACAGTGAAGACTGAATTCATGTATCATACAATCTTTCTTTGACTAAGAATGTTCATTTTAACTTGATCTTTGTTTCTGTCTTTAAGAAAAGGTATGTTGTTAAGTAATTTCGGGTCAGTTGCAGCTCATTAGGGACTCTGTATAGAGTTTCCAAGGAGCAGCTGGTGGGTTTGAACCGTCAGCCTTTCAATTACCAGTCCAGTGTTTATCCTACCACACCAGAACACCAAGAAAAAAGGTATCTGTATCTAAAAAGACAAATCAATATGTAAAAGCTGGCTCATACAGTTCCAAAAGATGAAGCAGAAAACGTGTGGGTGGGTTGAGGTGGGGGGAGGCAGTAATAATTGACAACATCATGGATTCCTTTTTATTCATGTTCTTTGTAAAAAAAAAAAAAATCAGAGCCATTAATTATGTGCATTGATTGGAACTGCTGCCTCTCACCTCCATTTCTGCTACATTGCTAAATACTCATCAGTACAAATCTTTAATTTGTACATTTCCTCAAGAGCTACTTTCTTCTTTGCTTTTTTCTTAAATTAATTGAAGGCAGTTTGGAGGAATCAGCCAGTAAGTAGCCCGCATTCCAGTGCTAATTAAGATCTAGGAAACTAGGATCTCCTGATCCTCAGAGGGAAGGAACTACACTTTGAGGTTCCTGAGTCACAGTTCTCTATTACTTTAAAGTTGATCCTTGATTGATGGTTTAGGGAGTGATATTTTAGGGAATGTGGAATGACAGAGATCTAGGAAAATGTGGCCACTATCCTCACTCATGTCCAGTTTCCACCTCTGGCAGGGCAAGACCTCCCAGCAGTCCAGGGGGAAAGATGTGCAATCTTGAGCAAGTTACTTAGCCTATCTGTGCCTTGTTTTCCTCATCTGTAAAATGGGGATAATAATAGGGTTGTTGAGTATATTTAATGTACAGAGTATAGTGCCTGGCACTTAGTAAGAGGTTAATTAATTAATCTTAGCACTATCATCATTGTTGTTGTTGCTACTTTGAACTCCAAAGAATTCCAGATATCATTGCAGGTGATGTGGGCTCTGTAGCTAGGAGAGTTTGTCCATTTTCCTTACCTAAGCTTCCTGCTCACCACCCTTCCTGAATCAGGAAAATACCACTCAGCTTAGAAACCTAACTAATGATTTCTTTTCTGGTAAATAGGATCTAAAAAAACAAACCAAACTTACTGCCATCGAGTTAATTCTGACTCATTATTACACAGTCTCATCTGTCTTTATTACACAGTCTCATCTTTTTCTCTTGTAGCAGCTGGTGGGTTTGAACCAGTACTCCTTAAATATAGTCTGACAGATTCAAGCAAGCTTGAGGGTGCTTTCGTATATCTTAAATTATTTAACTTTTCATGCAAAACCCTTGCATTTCCTCTAGGTCCAACGAGCAGTTATTTATTGAGACCAACACTAGTTTTCAGTTTACTCATCTGATTCGCATTATATTGTAGAACCTGATCAATGAATATGTAGCCCCACCCACTGCCGTCATATTGCTTCTGACTCATCAAGACCTAAGGAGTCCTGGTATGGCGCTGTGGGTTAATGCGCTGGACTTCAAAGCCTGTTTGAACTGCAAGGTCTGTGGTTCAGGCTCACCAGCTGCTCCTCGGAAACCCTACACAGGGTCTCCATGGGTGGGAACCAACAGCACTTAACAACAACATAGTGACTGTATAGGACAAGAATAGGACTGCTCCGTAGGGTTTCTGAGACTGTAAATCTTTACAGGAGCAAACAGCCTCAACAGTCTCCCATTGGGGAGCTGGTGGCTTTGAACTACTGACCTTGCTTAACTCCTGAGCCACTACTAGGGCTCCTTAGATGAATGCGTAAGTGGGAATAATAGAATTATACCACCTCACAGGTTGTTGTGAGAATCAAATGCATGCAAAATGAATTTGATTTTATTATAATATAGAATCAAGGACCTCTGGTAGAGTAGTGGTTATGAACCGGGCTGCAAACCGCAAGGTCAGCAGTTCAAAACTACCAGCTGTTCCGCAGGAGAAAGATGAGGCTTTCTGCTCCTGTAAAGATTTACAGCCTTGGAAACCCTGGCTATGAGTCACTATGTGTCAGAACCTACTCCACGGCACATAGCCACCACCAATATAGAAACAGGGGGCAAGAGCTTTTGTATAACAAGGCCTCATGGGACTTATACATGATGGGGGTGAGGGAGAGAGAGAGAGAAAGTGCCAGGTGAACATTAGTCATTTTTGTGGGCACTCTTCAGAAGTAAGGACTGATGTAGATGTAAAGAAGGGCATCGTAGGACACACAGTAGTGTTACCTGAACTAAGAATGGTGGCAGTGGAAAAGGTTGGCTTTCCTATGGAACTCGACTGATTCTGATCCATGAAGCAAAACACATCTTTTCTGCATTACAGGGAAATGAGGTCGTTCAGAGTAGACAGGAGGTTTGCCTAGGACACATGTTTTCCTTATTGGCAGCCATATGAGGGAACGTTCACTTAGAACATGGGTTGTAAAGGTGTAAATGGAAGAGTTAAAGGCTAAGTTTCCCATGTTTGCTTTTCCAAAATGTGTTTTTCCTCAGGATAAAGTCGTCATTCTGTAAATACAGGCTGCCTCCGAGTTATGAATGTTTGACTTATGTAAGTTACATTGTTATGAAGCCTCCATAAAGCCTATTATATTTAAAATTCAAAGTACAGGCAGTGGTTCATAATAACAAGTGGGTGCTACTTTGCAATACGCATCAAAGCATTATTATTGTGTTAAAGATGTTTTGGAGTCCTGGTGTGGCACTGTGGGTTAATGCGCCAGACTGCAAAGCCGTTTGAACTGCAAGGTCAGCAGTTCAAGTTCACCAGCTGCTCCTTGGAAACCCTATACAGGGTTGCTATGGTTCGGAACCAACTTGATGGCATTTAACTACAACAACTAAAACATGGTTTTAGTATGTCTGGAAATGTTTCTGATTTTTTTTTTTTTAATGCATAGAAGGTTTCTCAGTATACTATATACTAAGGCAAACATTTGATACAAATCATACCTAACTGTGCCAACTTACATATAAATTCCATTTAAAATACAGATTTAAGAACGCAGCTCATTCATAATCCAGGGACAGCCTGTACTTAATGCCCCTTGCAAAAGGGATCTTTCTTACACGAGTAAA